GTATATATAGACACATACATACACATATGCGTGATGGGACCATATGTATACATGTGCATATATACAAAGTAAATAGGTGACTCATGAGTGACTCATATAGATAGATAGATAGATAGATAGATAGATGTATAGATGTATAGATATATATATATATATGCACACACATACGCATACATATATTTAGAGAGAGAGAGAGAGAGAAACATATACATATAGATATGTATACATATACATAAATATATATATATAAACAAATATATATATATGTTATATACACATACCATTATGCTAATAAGGGCGGCGCCAGCGGAGCCGCCCGGAGCCGCCCGGATCTTGAGGTACCTCCGACCGTCATATTACTACTCAAAGGCCCCTGGCAATGCAAAAAGAATCAAGAAACGAAACGCGGACAAGTTGCATTAAATCATGGTCAACACTTCGTTCATCCTTTTGCTTTCTGACACCGTCTGTAGAAAAACACGTCATAATAAAAAAGAGAAAAGGTGACCTACCTCCCCCTGGTGGAATGGTCACGTCCTCCTCCAGCTCTCCCAGTTGTGCACCCAGCACGCCGGTGTAGTACGTGGCATTGACCGTCAGGTGGGCTGTGATGTGGCGAGATTCCGCACTGGTGTTCTTTATGGTCAGGGTCACTTCGATGTCCTGACCAACGTAGGCCTGCGTATGAAGCCACAATTATACGTCATTCACACAAACAGTTGCACAACCATGCCCCCAGGTAGTCTCCTTTTCAGGCGTTCCGGGATCGGTCGATCGATCCGGCCGCCAGCCCTATATCTCCATCCCTGTTTCGATCCTGGAACGCCTGGAAAGGAGGCTAGCCCCCAGGTCTCAATGTGTATATTTGAGCCTTTGGAACAAGTACTAGACTGAGGAAAAATGACAGGTGTCTTGGAGGTAGAACCAACGAGCCTCCTTGGTAGAACCAACATTACTCCGAAGACTTCCCAAATTTAATAAGGTCGTAGAAGATTTCTTTTATTTAAGGTCGTAGAAGAAAGGGTCATTGACAGATACACTGGTGCATCATACGTTCTATAATAAGGTACATGGATTGTCATAGAGGTCATTAGATCAACAGAAGTAAAAATACATTTTGATGCAAACGACAGATGCCGCAAACTTGAAAGTACTTAACCGTATAACCGACTCTCAACAACAAATGATCACCTCTTCATTGGCAGTGATAGAAAACTCCACATCTTCATTTTTGATGATGTCTTCATATGTCCACGGTGTAGTGCCGTATCCCACAGCCTTGCGGACTGCCACTCGCTCCTGGTCAGAACCTGGGGAAAATATAAGTTGAGTTCTCCATTACTAATAGAATAGAATCCGGCAGAATATAGAATCCGGCAGGCATAGCCGTACCCCTCTGAAAGATAGAACGTGCGAATTCTGTAATCATTTGTATGTTGAAAACGAGATAAACTTTCTACTTGACTGTACATTATATAAAGATAAACGCCAAGAACTACTCGTTTTTTTACATTTAGACAAGATATGCAAGAAAATGTCAAAGCAGGACACGTTTAAACACTTGATGTCATGCAAGAACGAATGTATAGCAGACAAACTATGTAATTATGTTCCCAAATGTTTCAAAAAGAGAGAAGAAAGGGCTACTAACAGTAGATGATAGGTAGTATATAGTATTGTTATAATGTATAAATTCCTAGCAATTAGCATTAGAATGTAGCGTTCCACTATGCAATACTCATGTTTTGCATACTGCATTTCCTCTTGTGCATTTAGCCCATCTGGGCAAGAACATGCAATAAAGATTCATATCATATCACTAATTCTCATCTCAAAGGACGGGCGCAACAGATAGACGACCAAATGACATTGGTCATTGAGATCGTTGAAAGGGCCATTGACAGATCATTGGGATACCGTGGAGATTGTCACATCGACCATTGGTTATTGAGATCACTACCAGATCATTGTAAAATACTTGGAGATACGTTGAACGATCCGTTGGAAGATCATGGAAATCATTGAATGATCAATGGTATCATTGGAGGTGTCGAAAGTTTCGTTCTTTCCTAGAACTATTGCAGAGTGGAACTCGCTGTCACCAAGTACAGTAGGGGCATTATCATTAGATATCTTAATTTAAACAATGTTTAGCGTTAGATTTTTAAGGGTTAGGTGTAACAAGTCGTTCGGTGTAATAATATATCCTTAATAGGATCGACCCCAGGCTACCTTACTAATGGACAATTGAGACATCTCAGCAAGATACAGACAATCGTTGCTCAACAAAAACATGAAAATCTACCTTCTGCGTGTTTGTAGTTCTCCGTGACGTCTTCCCTCCCGTAGGTGCCAACTGCCTTGGTGCTCATGTGGAATCCCACAGAGTTCTTTTCATGTCGGAGGAACTCAAAGTAACCGTAGTCGTTCTCCTGAGACAGGACAAAGAAGTTGACGGTACAAAACGGTAAAGAGAATACAGCATAATGTTCTTCAGTTGCAGGCTGACGCTGTTCTTCAATTGCCAGCTGAGATGATACTGGTAAGCGTAATTCTAGTTTCATATACGTGCTGCGATCTTGCATGAACACCCTAGGCTTGGGTGTACATGAAGAGCAACGGTAGATGCAGAGCAACATGAAGAGCAACTGTAGATGCACCGATCTTCATCGGTCTTCATAGTCTGTCTCGCTTGTCCAGTGACTATCTACATCCCCGTAATAGCCAGCCTATCCTAAAACCTTTTTGACCATCGATGGCATCGTCATCAGGTTTACATAATCATGATCTTTCCTATTCATGACGCGGTATAGCTGTCGAGATAGCTGTCGAGGGTGCTGTCAACCCAGCGGTAGCTGTCAGCAGAGTGTTAGCTGTCTCCGAAGCGACAGTATGTTGTGCCTGACGTAATCTTACTCATGATGTAAATTACAAACTTTACCTGCCAATACACCTTGTCCGCGTTCACTTCGGCAAATACGAACATGGTGTCATACGGCAGGTACACCGTCCCGTTCTTCACGGCTACCACAGGGCACGGGCCGCACTGGAAAATTCCTGCAAGAGTTCAGAATAAATTGTCATACGAGATGTAGGAATTTTCTCATTGCCTCCGAATCTGATCATGAAAGTATTTTGTGTGCGTGATGGTTTTGGTGGGCAGGTGTTAAAATGTCTGAACAATTGGTTGCAGTACACGTAGTATAGTATGATGCAGTGAAAGAACAAGGCTTTGGTTTGAATAGCAAAGTTCTTTTATCACAACCATTTATCTTTACGAGCCGACGTTTCGATGACCGTCTGTCATCTTCGTCAGGGCAATTCTGACTGGTTTACTGTACACTGAGATGTTACTTGGTGCATAGTGCACTGAAGGTGTTACATTGTTACATGGTTTGGTTGCAAGACTGGTTTGTTGTTGTCACCTTCGCTTGTTTCCTGTGGGGTAGCGTCCACCACCTGCCAGCCCCCGAAACCTTCGGGTAGTTCAGGCCGGGCCATCCACGCCTCGTTCCACACGTGGAAGTTCCTACAATGACGGACAGCAGTATTTATCTCTGAGTTGATAGCTCACTTAACGTGCTCTCTAAATCTATTGATTCTTTCTTTCTTTCTTTCCTCGCTTATAATATATAACCCTTGCTGCAGATCGGACAGACACAAAAACTAATTCATTGTGAGAGCCGTAAAAGTGTGTGTGTATATATATATATATATATATATATATATATATATATATATATATATATATATATATATATATATATATATATATACATATATATATATATATGTATATTTGTATATATTGTATTTTATACTGAAATTGTTACTTTTAATCTTCGTGTTCTTTTAAATGATTATAATTTTTAAATGCTAATCAAGTTTTTAAGCTACGTATCTGTAATGATGTTTGTATATTAAGGATTGTAAAATGTCAATGTAATTCAGAAGTGCTTGGCCTGAAGCATTTTGGCACGTCTGCCATGTTGATGTTTAATAAATATTTGATTTGATTTGATTATAACCAGCGTTCAGTTCGATCTGTGAGGAGGGTGTGCCAATCACATCAGTGTGCTCAAAAATGTCATATTCAGAGTATTCTGCAAAGAGCAGGAACATCGATGTAAAACTTTGGGCTTCGTCACGTCACTGAGAAGTGGCTATCTGAACAAAGAAAGGAATTGATCATGACTTAAAGTCCACAAATTTGTCATGTTTATCATGCCAATTATTTTGTATTTCTCACCACACAGAGTCTTCTGACTCCATACGATAGCCACGCCTGTCAAAGTAGTAGTCGATGGTCATGGACACGTCAGTGTCGTGTGCCGACTGGAAGTTGGTGATGCTTCGGGCCGGGATGCCCAAACAGCGGAGCACTGGAGAGTGAAAGTTTAGATTCAATAAATCCATGATGTTATTGAATCTGTAACAAATATGTGACAGAACCAGGCCGGGTGTATGCAATGACTTCGGTGAAAACTTTCAAACTTTTGACAGCATTACGCCAAAAAACAGTATCGTATTACCTGGATGTCTAACCTTCATCGACGTATTTTGACAGCATTTTAATGCATTTTCATGCTAGCATATAGTTTTATACCACTACATTCTGTACTCATTGTTCTTGTCAATGTCTGTTTGCAACTAGCCCTCGGGCATGAACTTGCAATAAAGAACTCTTATAATGAAGTTAGCGACATTACTAAAATGGTTATAGTCCAAATATTTGACAGCACATGTACAGCGTTCGTTACAGCACTGTGTCAGCGCGGGATCAGTGACAACAATGACTATATTATACCATTACCTTTGGAACATTTAAGTCTTGTGCTGGTCAGAAAAAAACTCTGTCGACACGTACCTGTATACCCTGGCGGCCAAACTAGTATCGGGCCGTTGGCCGTTTTCCTTCGGCAGCCAAGAGCCCTTCGCCCGCCTATCTAAATTACCGCTACGGGGAGTTGAGCCAGAGGGGAATTTAGCTGGCCCTAGAACTAGCCAAACT